GCCTGCAACTGCACAAATACGGGGCAGTAACGAGAGAGGGGGAGCAAAAGGAAGGTAAAGGGGGAAAGCAGCTACAGTAGCAAGATTGCCACGACAATTCGCGCTGCGTCAGCATGCCGTCTATAATCAACAGTCGGAACGCGGGCATTTCTGCCAGCGCCCAGTGTCATAAGGGAGTACGTCACACAGCATTAAGGAATTTCATCAGGGCGCGCATCAAGGAAAGAGAGAGAGAGAGAGGCCTGCTCAGAGAATGGATTAACTATGCGGCCGTCATAGAGCAATGCACCTCTCGCCAGAGCTGCAGTAGTATTTTGGAATTCCCTCATCGCCGCAGGCCGCCCGCACACCGCCTAAGCCACGTCATCTGGGCGCTCTCAGGTCCACGCAGGAGATCAAGGAGATACACTCACCGGTGGGATTGTTCAATGAGGGCCTACAGCCCTGTAATGTGTCAGCCGTACATTTGAAGTTGAACACTCCAGCGGTATTTGCAGAAACACTAAGACGAAGGAAAAAATAATAATAATAACAACAGAGTCAGTAAAGACTAAGCGCAATAAGAGCCGCGCCCACCTCGAGTGGAATCCAAAAGTTGTATTACATACAAGACGCCCGCCATCAAGCACCAAAGTTTGGCAATTAAAAAGAGGTGATAATAGTTTGAAATTGGATAAAAAGAGAACCACTAAGCAACATTACGGGTAGTTATTTGGTCAACTGGAAGGTGCCCAGCCGAACCCAGGCACGAAAGACAAACATGCCCATTTCCGGCAATTAAAATGCTCGTGATGCTACAATGTGGCAGTGAAATCCGCAACCACGCTTCAGGGGGGAGTTGAAGCGCCCGACACACCAAGTACCGAATCACATTGGCATGGCCTACAATAATTTCCACGGATGACTCATCCGCAGTCGTCCGATGAAAGTACTTCTCAAAGACTGCTTCAACTGTCTGCATGTCGGCATACGTGGCATGTTTGTTAGGCCGCGTCGGCTCCGGATCACACGGGAACCTCTCACGCAACGCGGCATCGGTCGCTAACCGTCTGCGCAGATGTGGCGGAAAAGCCTCCAAAATGTGTTTCGCCGTCTGCTGCGCACGCGTCATGTCTGACACATGAATAAACTTCGGCTCCGGTGCAACAAGAAATCCTCCCATAGAATTCCTTCCTGCGGCCGCTCCAACCGAGGAACCCGTGGATGAAGCAGCTTTCCCAATGTCGTCAGCGGACAGTCCCTTTGCACCCGACGCTTTAATTCCGCTCTGCACAAAAGCCTTGAACAAATACTGGCCGGTACGTCTCGCCTGTTCTTCACCGAGCGGCGTAAGCGTGCGAATACGGTCATCGTTCGACTTTTCGTACTGGTACTGCCCATGCCGAACCAAAACAATCTGCCGTACAAACGAACGATGACGGTCCGCGCGGATCCCACGCACACCGGGGCGATCCCAGTCACTCACCCACGGAACGCCCCAAGTCTTCACATACTCCAACTCCTCTTGCGTGGGCAGCGGCAGCCGCTCAAGGCTATAATTCGATAAGCCATCCGAAGAAATACCGCTCCTACTCGGTGCCTTACACCAGCAAGAACTTCGGCAAGAATAACAAATACCGCCAACAGCACCAAAAACAAATTTGGCAAGCATAATCAAACTAGAGGTAAATCTAAACACTAAAACAAAAACAAAAACAAAAGAAAAAAATGCACCACATACACACACAACAGCACTTTAAGAAGACACCGGCCAGGGACAAAACCACGCACGCCGGTACGGCGGGCCGTCGTGGTCGTCGTTCTTGCTCCCCAGTTTCGTGCGCCGCGTCTGTTGGTTTTGCGACGGGCGCACTACATGAGAGAGCGTTGCGTGGGGGAGGAGGCGCAGTGGGCGCGAAATGTGTAATGCATGGTTTGCTGCTGGCTCATCAGGGCCCCGACGGGGCTAGAGCGCACACAGGATATGCATAACGGGACAGTCGCGCGGCGGAGCATCAGGCGCACTGGGCGCCGAGCGTCACACCACGCGCGCCCTTGCTCTGCGACCCCCGTGCACACACGCGCAGCGGAACACGTCCGACGCACGCCTCCCAGAAGGAGCGGCGGGGGCGCGGCCGCCACGCGCGTGCCCGTCTCGAAGCCGTACGCCCACAGAGAGGGGCGCCCCCGAGGTGACA